CCCCCATCTCTCTCCCCCTCTCTCCCTCCCTCTCCCCCTCTCTTTCTGTCTCTCTCGCCCGGGTCAGGAAATGGACGGAATGGTAGGATTTAGGGACAGGTGACGGACGGGACATGCACGGCCTTCCCCCCCCCTTCAGATCCCAGGCAACTGACCCCACCTCTGTGGAATGTCGTCGTGAAATGACCGGTACATGTCTTGTCATTTCACCCGGGCATCTCAAGCCCAACCCGTGGCTTATGAGACGAGGCAGAGAGCGCTGTCTCCGCAGAGGGTGCGTGCGGTGGTGAAGCCAGGAGTGGACTATCTATAATTCGGTTCTCCCCGGTTCGCTCCACGGCCCACTTAGACTTGGGTGCAGGCTGCACAAAGTCAGCTTGTGTGCAGCTCTTCGCAGGTCCTGTCAACGGGATCGCCGTGCACAGTTGACCAGGTTGTGCGTGGTGCGAGGGCACCTCATCTAAAAGAAATATTGCCGGGAAAGGGTCTAACATCCAGAAAGAGGAGTGACGGCCCTTCCTCATGTCCTGCCAATCCCACAGGTGCTGTCCCCACTGTCCGACTCCATCCTGGCAGAGAAGACGGTCACCGTGTTAGATGAGAAAGTGTCGGTGACGGACTTGGCCATCCAGCTCGTGGCCGGGCTGTCCGTCACCCTCCACCCCAACGCGGAGAACAGCAAGGCCGTCACAGCTGTGGCCACGGCGGAGGAGCTTCTGCGGACCCCCAAGCAGGTAGGGGTCCAGAGGGCGGAGGGCGGGAGGGCGCGGGGCGGGAGGGAGGAGGCAGGAACGGGGCGGGCTGGCAGAAACAGGGTCCACGTCGGCAGAGCCATGGAGGCCCCGTCATTGCAGACAGAAGTGCTCGTCTTACCCACGTGGCTGTTGGGTCACGCAGACCGAGGGTCAGCGATGAACCAGAGCACTGCGGTGACTCACAGCCCACAGAGGTGCCGCCGCTACCTGCTGCTTCGTGACACCTGCCACAAACCCGGCCGCTCAGGACGGCGCCCGCCTGTCCGCTCCCGGTGCTGTGATGCTCAGCCGGGCTCCCCGCTCAGGGCGCCACGCGGCCGAAATCAAAGTGCAGCTGGCTGGCTTCTCGCCAGGACGCTCTGGGTCGGGGTCTGCGTCCACGGTTATTTATGCGTCGGCAGAAGCAGATCCTTGCAGTCCTGAGATGGAGGCCCCCAGCTGGTGACTGGCTGGGAGCTTCTCTTAGCGACCGACCGAAGGCCACCACAGTCCTCCTCCCTCCTCTCTCCCCGCCCCTCCCCAGGGGCCTCAGCCCAGCAGCGGTGTGGGGCTCCTCACGCCCCAGCCTCCCTGCCTCCCCTTCCTGCCACCAGCTAGAGAATCCGCTCTGCTTTGAAGTGAGGGTCCAGGGGGCGTCACTGGGCCCACCCAGGTGGCCCAGGAGGATCTCCTCACTCCTCACCTCCAGGCCACCCGACAACACAGCCGTGAGCAGCATCCCGCTCATCGCACGCGTGTCCCGGGGTTTAGGGCGGGACATCCTTGGTGGGGCCGTTCTGGAAGCTCTGCCTACCGCGGGGAGACAGCTGTGACCTGGCTTTGCCCCCTGGAACGCCGGGGGGTCCACGTCCAGCCCGCGGCGCCCGCTCCTCTCCTCTCTCCAGGGCAGGCAGTTGGCGTGGCGTGGCGGTTTCTAGTCCATAAAGGGCAGAGTCCAGCGGGCGGAGGGACGTGCAGGGGAGAGGGCGTGGAGCTATTTGCAGAGAATGTGTAATCAATTAGGGCAAACGATTGGCATTGCAACCTCCCTGGCAAGGGGCGAGGCCACCGGTCCCCTCCCCGACGTGGCCCATCTGTCTTCATCAGGTGACAGTAATTGGCGGCCCCAGCACCGACTCTGGGTTACGGCCGAACCACGGAGCGTCTGATTTGCAGACCCGGCTGTTTTAAGGATGGAGCTCTCAATCATTCCCGGGCGGGTGTTATTTTAAGTGGTTCAGAGTTTCTCATCTTTGGGGAGACGCGTTGGCCTCTCCTGATAAAAACGCCAGGTCCCCACCTCTCCATAACAAGCTAATGGAAGGACTTGGTCTCAATCACACGGCAGGTTCGGACAGAGATGGATTCTGGCAGGCCGAGGGCGCTCGGGGCTTTAGCTCCGATTGTCTGCCCTTTCCAGGGGCCTATTTCATGCTAACTTCTTTCTCCATCTAGAGTTTGTGAAGGAAAATTGACTCAAGAGGAAAAGTCAGCCACAGTGAGCTTGCACACTGCCAACAGGGCCTGCTCTCGGCCCGGGGAGTGTGGAAGGCTGGCACCTTGTTTGTGACCATTTTCAACTTGGAAATACAAAATCTGAAAGATTTTCGCAGCCACAAATATGAGGGCCCTGGCGCATGCGTTCCCCCGCCCCCCACGCTCTGCTTGGAGAACGAGAAGACCAATCCCGTGGGATTCAGGCGTGAGGCTGAGGCATTAGCGAGGGGCTCTCGGGGGTGCAGGACCCATCGGCTGCCATGATGGGGGGGGAGGGAACAGGGCGGGAACCGCATTGCTGAGCCGGCGTCATCTGGTGTCAGTTTGGTTCCCCCAGAAGCTACGCCTGAGCAAGGACTCGAGTGCAAGGACTTTATCTAGCGGAATAAAGCAAGCCCGGTGGGGAAGCCGGCAGGTGATGCTTCCAGCTCAGCCACCTGCATGGGCAGCTGGTTTCATTAACCAAGATACCGCTGAACCAGTCAGGGGGTCCGGGCATCACCGACAACGATGACCGGCGTCCACAACAGGCCCTCATCCCCTGGTCACAGACACTGATTAGTGGCCTGGTCTTTGGAATTGATGCAGGTACCGTGTTCCCCCGAAAATAAGACAGAGTCTTCTATTGATTTTTCCTCCAGAAGACACCCTAGGGCTTGTTTTCAGGGAATGTGTGTGTGTGTGTTTTTTTAAAGTACGGTACAACCATCCACATTGATTCAAATAGAGTGAAGTCATCTTATTCTGGAGCATCATCATCACTCTCCAAACCCCGAACTCCATCCTGAATTTCTTGTGACTCTGTTTCCTTTGGAACCGTTGGCCCCGATCTCTCCTGTCGAGCACTAGAGCTCTCGTGGGGCGGATGAGAAGGGCTGCTCGTCTTCTTTCCCGATCCTCGACGGCATGTAGGGGTTGTGCAGACGCGCTGCGCAGCCACGCCCGTCACTAGGGCTGATTTTCGGGGTGGGGCTTCTATTGCGCACATGATTAGAAATCCTGCTGGGGCTGATTTTATGGATAGGGCTTATTTTTGGGGAAACATGGTACTGCGGGGGAGGGGCGGGAAACACGGTCAGGGCGGAGGGCCTTAAAGTGGAAGCTCCCTCTTCTCTCTGCACTCCCATGCCATGCGGTGGCACCTTCGACTTTGCCTGAGAAATAAGGACACGAGCGTGTTTCGCCCATTATGGCTGACCCTGCTGCCAGGTGGAAGGTGGGCTGTCACCCGGGGGCAGTGATGTCCTGCGTGCTAGCGGATGGCACTGCCTGGGGCTTCCCTGTGTTGTGGGTTGTTGGTTTGCTCCTGGCGAGGCTGCTGCTCCATTTGTTCCCATTTACATTGAGGTGATTTCTCTGACCTGGCCATCGCACCTGTAGGTTTCCCGCCTGCATCCATCCGCCGCCGGGTCTGGGTTCGGGGTCCCGCCCCTGTTTCTCAGGGTCTTCTCTAGGACGGGGCTTCTAGAGAGGAGCCCCTCCCCCAGGGTGGCCTTCTAACGCTGCGTCTCCCCGCAGGAAGCCGTGGTCAGCACGTGGCTGCAGTTCAGCGACGGCTCGGCGACGCCCCTGGACATCTACGACACCAAGGACTTCTCCCTGGCGGCCACCTCCCAGGACGAGGCGGTGGTGTCGGTGCCCCAGGCCCGCTCCCCCAGGTGGCCCGTCGTGGTGGCGGAGGGCGAGGGCCAGGGGCCGCTGGTCCGGGTGGACATGAGCATCGCGGAGGCCTGCCAGAAATCCAAGCGCAAGAGCGTCCTGGCCGTGGGCGTGGGCAACGTCAGGGTCAAGTTCGGGCAGAACGACGCGGACCCCGGCCCCGCGGGGGATTACGCGGAAGACGAGCTCAAGAACCACGCCAGCGAGCGCCGGCAGAAGGGGCCGGCCGAGCAGGAGCGCGCGGGCCAGGACGCGCCCCTCTACGGCAGCTCCTCCCTGGGGCGCGAGGAGGGGGCGCCGGGCAGGGCCACCGTGGCGGCCACCACCACCACCGCCAAGTCGCTGCTGGACAACAGAGTGGCGAAAAACAGCCGTGCGGACGCGGGCAGGCTGGCCGGGGAGGGGCAGCTGCAGAACATCCCCATTGACTTCGCCAACTTCCCGGCGCGCGTGGACCTGCCCGGGGCGGACGGCGCGCAGCCGGCGGCGGAGGACGAGCCGGTGCAGACGCCGCGCGGCCTGAGCGACCTGGAGATCGGCATGTACGCGCTGCTGGGCGTCTTCTGCCTGGCCATCCTGGTCTTCCTGGTCAACTGCGCCGCCTTCGCGCTCAAGTACCGGCACAAGCAGGCGCCCCTGGAAGGCCAGGCCGCGGGGACGCACTCGCACGACTGGGTGTGGCTGGGCAACGAGGCGGAGCTGCTGGGCACCGCGCCGCCGCCGCCCCAGCGCGAGCACACGACGGTCATCGACCGCGGCCCCGTCGCCGGCGCCTACGAGGAGGGCAGCCACCTGCTGCTCAACGGCGGCGCCCAGAAGCACGTGCAGAGCCAGGTGCACAGCGCGGCGGGGTTGGCGGGGTTGGCGTCCGGAGCGCGGCAGGGCAGGGACCACCCGAAGCAGGAGCCTCCGCACTCGCCCACCTCCAAGAGGAAGAAGGTCAAGTTCACCACCTTCACCACCATCCCCGCGGACGACGGCTGCCCCACCGTGAACTCCATCCTCGGCGGCAACGACGAGGACATCAAGTGGGTGTGCTGAGACGCGGGCGGGGGCGCCCGGAGGACGCGGGGGCCGGTCTGGAGACGGCGGCGCGCGGGTGTCCTCTGGCCGGAGCGCTCCGCAGCCCGGCTGCCTTCCTTCGGGTCCGCGAGTCCATGCAGGCTCCAAAAATTGGCCCGCGCCGCCTCGTGGGGCAGGAGTTCTCGCTGGGCTGAGTGGGCAGGGCTGGGCCTCAGTGGCAGTGGGAAGTTTTGAAGCCGGGTAAGGGACTTTTTTTTTGTATCAAGAGGGTTTTTTTTTTGTTTGTTTTTGTTTTTTTTTAGCAGTCCAGGGATGGTGGATTTTCAAAAGCCAGAGGAATAAACTCGGGGATAAAGGGACTGCAGACCAAGATATTAAACTGCACATGGTGAAATAAATTAGAAAGGTTATTTTATGAGTCAACCTATAATACAGACAATCTACCAAAAATCATTTGTTAAAAAAAATGAAAAAGACAAATAAAAAGAGATAGAAATAATAATCTGTTTATATTTCTAATAAAGGAGCAAAACATAAAAGTAGGGCCCTCTAGGAGACATTTTCCATTTTAGTTCACCATTCCCGCTTTGACTGTCTACAAGGGGCTGCCTCTTGGGATAGAACGAAGGATTTTTAAATCTTTACTTGATAATCTTTTCTTCTCTTTTCCATGTTTCCTGTTGTTTGGTTTTTTTTTTCCTTTCTGTGTCCTAGACTTCTATTTCGTTTATATTTAATGTTTATTTCTAAGGATCAAGGGGTATATTTTTTCTTAAGGGAAATATAAATTATATTCCTGTGTGTTAGATGGATTCCTATAAATAAGGTCCATTCATCCGGTTTTTGAGTAGTAACGTCCAGGCTTTTCTGTAGCCCTCCAGCCTGGCTGGCGTTTGCCGGGTGTTCACGGTTAGAAGGAGCGCTCAGAGCCTCTCGTGGGAACCGTGGTTGGGCCACGACCACGGCCACCACCACGGCAGGACATCCCTAACGGCAGCCGACGCCCACCCTGGACCACCCGGCCATGCGGTGTCTCCTCCCCTCCTGCACGGGGTCGGGGGACAAGTCGGGTCAAATGCAAAAGAGACACCGTGCCCAGGACTAGCCACAGCCGACCTGGTGGGATGGGTCTGCCCCAGGACATATCCAATGCTGAAAAAAAAATGAACAAAGGTTAAAAAAAAAAAAAACAACTGGGAGTTTTTCGGTTGTTTTTCTTACTTTGTTGGGTGGGGTATAATACCAGCATAAACTCTAAAGATAAAAAAAAAAAAATCTATGTTAGATTGTCAATCAACTGTGTTTTTGAACAGCATAATTGTGTAGCAGCACATTGCAAAACACGCATTCATCCAAAGCGGCACGCGTGTGGCCGGAAGACCACGGCAGAGTGAGGTAACCCCCTTCCTGCTGGCCGGCGCGGTGGCCACGGTGGGCGGGGGAGGGGGACACCGTCCGCACGCCGTGCTCTCAGCCAAGACGCCAGGGGTGTTTATCGTGTTTATTTTTTTAATTACTAAAACCAGTAGCTCAGACAGGGTCCTTCAAGCCTCCTCCCCGTGGTGGGACCTTTAAAAAAGTATATTTGTAGCACATGTTGTAGACGGAAAGAAGATATTTATTTATACCTGTGATGCCAATTGTCATTAAAAGGCGTATCATGGTGTGACGTTCAGCGTCTCTTTGGGTGTTTCTTGCTTCCTTGAGTTCCTCCCTCCCTCCCACCCCGAGATGCCCAGCTGCCGAAGAGCTAGGCTGTTAGGATGCAGGGAAGACAACGCGTTTGCCCGTCTCTTTCTATTTTTTTCCTCCTTGGTTTCTTGGCCGACTCGGAGTCATTCCCAAATAGAAAACCTTTCTCTCTCATCCGTGAGCGTCAGTGGGACCAACCCGGGCTCCAAAACGTGCCTTTTTCGCAACTTCCAGCGTGAGGCCGAGGCCACCGACCCGAGCCCACACTTTGCAAACTGCCCACCTCGTCCCAGAAGGACAGCCCTGGCCTCGGATGGAAGATGATGTCAAACCCCCCCTCTGGGGAGAGGGGTTACTTCCGCTTGTTTTGTGTGTGTGTTGTTGTTGCGTGTTTGAAGTTTGCGTGGGACTGTTACTGCTGTCGATGAGTTGGGGGAAGAAAATTTTTTGGTAGAAGTAGTCAAGGGGTTTTTTTGTGTGTTTTTAAATGACTTTATTGAGATACCATTCACATAGCAAAAACTTGACCCGTTTAAGCTGCACGATTTAATGTTTTTTAGTGTATTCACAGAGTTGCACATCCTTCAACACATCCATTTTAGGGCATTTTCATCATCCCAAAAAGAAACTCTGTACCCGTTAGCTGTCACTGCCCTACGCCCTACTCTCACCAGCCCTGAGCAGCAGCTACTCCACGTCCCGTCTGCACGGCTTTGCATAGAGGTGCCGGGATTTATATCCATACGAGAGACCCTCCTGAAAACGCTCCCAGTGGGTTACAATCCCCACGAGGTCACCAAGCAACAATGTTGCTGCTTGGGAGACGCAGATGGGACTAATGTACCGTGATTGTTCCTCAATCTTAATCCAGGCTGCAGGAGAGACCTCAGCCTGCTCACAGCTCAGCTGCCCGTACTACTGAGCGGTAACAGAGCCTTCACGACCACAGGCTCAGGTATGTAAAACATAGAAATTTCATTTTTTCCCCTATACCAGAAATTATTATTATTATTATTATTTTAATGAGACAGAGTCTCATTTTGTTGCCCAGGCTAGAGTGGGTGCCGTGGCGTCAGCCTAGCTCACAGCAACCTCAAACTCCTGGGCTCAAGCGATCCTCCTGCCTCAGCCTCCCGAGTAGTTAGGACTACAGGCATGCACCGCCATGGCCGGCTAATTTTTGCTATATATATTAGTTGGCCAATTGATTTCTTTCTATTTATAGTAGAGACGGGGGTCTCGCACTTGCTCAGGCTGGTTTGGAACTCCTGACCTTGAGCGATCCTCCCGCTTTGGCCTCCCAGAGTGCTAGGATGACAGGCGTGAGCCACCGCGCCCGGCCTTCAATGCAGGTTTTTATGTCTCTCTGCCTTAACATAAACTAGTATAGTAGTGAAATTTGCATGTTTTTTTTTTACTATGTTGACTCTTTAAAACATGATTTGATTCCCGAAATGGTGGATGTGGGCACAAAAGAATATTGCTTTTCATTAATATGCATAGCTCATCTGCATGTTTAAAACCATGAACAGTCCACAGGTCCCAGGAATTGGGACGTTGGGCATCTTCAGGAACATTATTCTGCCGGCCACAGACCAGTATTGACTGATAGGTAAAAATCAAATTTGAATGTAAAAAACTTACTCTATGAATCTGCAAAATGTTTTAAAAAATATTTGGTGGGAAAAACAGTTCACAAAACAGTGCATACCATACGATTTCAATTTTGTACTTATGCCACTTCAGTACGGCACTCACCGGCCTCAAAGCCTTGTCCACAGCCGGCACTCACAGTCCGCACGGTAGTTTGTGCTGCGCATTGACGACGGATCCGTTTTGCTCTCGCGTGATGAGGAAAGCTTGAAAGCACAGAAAGCTTACTTTACTTTACAGGCAGCTTTACTTGTCATGCCGATCAGAATAGGTAACATAGACATGCATGTTTTCATGACGCTATTTTTTAAATGTTCACAATTTTATTTTGATAAATGAAAAATTAGAAAAGTCGTATCCCTGCTGCCAGCTAAAGTCGCCGCCGAGCCCACGTGTCCGTCTTCCCCCCTGCTGTGGAAGCCGTGCAGAGCAAGGGCCGTGAGCACAGCGCTGAGCCCAGAGCTGCTGCAGCCTTCCCGCGCACAGGTGTCTCCTGTGGACCTCGTTGGTTAAATGCAGATTATCATTCGGGGGGCCGGGGTGGGACCCGAGGTTCTGCCTTTCTAATCAGCCTCCTGGTGGTGCTGTGGGGACTGGTCCCCGGGTGATGCCGTCCCTGGCAATGGCTTCCAGGGTCGGCCCGGGCGGGCGCTGCAAAGAGCTCAGCAGGCCGCGGTGAGCAGCTGGAGCCGGGGAGCGCGAGCTCCACCTGGCGGCGCTTCGGATAACAGCAACGGCGAGAATAAACTCTCCAAGGAAAGGGCCAAACTTTCCTGATGGCCGGATGCTGGGCGGAAGTGGGTAGATTGTCGCATCTAGCTGAGAGGTTGTGGCAGGAAATGAGAGAGACGGGCGATTGACACATCTGGAGAACCGGGGGGTCAACCGGATCACCTGGGAGCCCCCTCGTCCCCTCCCCGAGCCATTTCACAGGCAGCAGAGCTCTGCTTCCCCCCAAAGTTATTGGTTAGAGACACAGTGGCCGGGCAGACCCGGCTCAGACCCCAGCTCAGATTCCACCGCTAGGCATGTGCCCCAGAGAACTGAAAACAGGTGCTCACGCGAAAACTTGCATGCAGTGCTCAGAGCATCGCTCACAATAGAGGAAAACAACCTGAAGGTCCCCAGTGGACGCACGGACAAGCAAGAACGTGGTCCATCCATGCAAGGACACAGGCGTTCAGTCACGGAGAGGAATCAAGATCGGACACACGCCACAACATGGATGAGCCTTGGAAACACGCTGCTAAGTGAACAGAAGCCAGACACGAAAGGCTCTCCTATTGCGTGAGGGGTCCTCAAACTTTTTAAACAGGGGGCCAGTTCGCTGTCCCTCAGACCGTTGGAGGGCCGGACTATAGTTTGAAAAAAAAAACTATGAACAAATTGCTATGCACACTGCACATATCTTATTTTGAAGTAAAAAAGCAAACAGGCAAAAACACCCGCATGTGGCCCGAGGGCCGTAGTTTGAGGACGCCTGGTCTACATGAAGTGTCCGGCACAGGCAAATCCACAGGGACAGAAATTCGAGCATCGTTGCTTTGTGCTGGGGAGAATGGAGACGAGAGAAGAGACAGCTAAAAGGGTTTGGGGTTTCTTTCTGGGGTGATGAAAATGTTCTAAAATTGACCATGATAACGGTTGCAAGCTCTGTGGATATAGTAAACCGATGATTGAATTGTACACTTAAAAAAAACAAAAAACAACAAAAAAAAAAAACCTAGTGACTCAGGCACTTCAAGCTGAGTTGCCTTGGCCGGGCGCGGTGGCTCACGCCTGTGATCCCAGCACTCTGGGAGGCTGAGGTGGGAGGATCGCTTGAGGTCAGGAGTTCGAGACCAGCCTGAGCAAGCGCCCCAGCCCGACACACCTGGCGCTGGAGCCGTACAGGTGTATTTTAAAAGGCGAATCAGGGGTGACGTATTCGGGGAAAAAGGCACAGAAAGGAGATGCCCATCAGGCAGGCAGGGCCAACGCGGAAGGGCTCGCCTACCATGGGTGACGGCCAGCGTTACTCAGCATCGTCAGGCAGAGCGCGTTACCATGGAAACCGCTCTCAGGCTCTGTGGTCCACACTCAGGTTCTTCCCGGGCGTGATGTCCAGGTGTGCGTTTCACAAAAGCTGTAGCGTGTTCTAATGATTCCGAAGCTGCCACCTCCATCATTGACCTTCCTATAAAGGAGCACACTTCTCCGTGTGTTTCCCGGTCAGAGTGCAATTGTGCCTTTCCCGGGAACAAGTCCACCAATATGTTCCTAGGCACGTCCCCAAAACAGAGGGTCAAAGGTCTTCTTTTTCCTCCCCATCGGGTAATAAGACCAGCAGGTGCGTCTTGCCCAGCAGGTGCGTG